GGCTGTTTCAGCAGGCAGGACTGGCCTAGGGGGTATTTTAATTGGTTTTAACAAAATTTTAATAGAGCGGCCAATTCAAATATTTATTTTTAATTATTTTAGATTTGTATTTGGTATTTATGTGGGATTGTTTTAAACTGGCTGTAAGCTGCCCTGAGTCCTCCGGGAGAAGGGCGGGGTATAAATGAAATAAATAAATGAAATAAATAAATAAATAAATAAGAGCTTCCACTCCAGTCCAGTTCTTAAGAGGACTAGTTGATTTAGCTGGTAGTCTCTTTGTTTTTCCAGTTCGATGCAGTTGTCCCAAAGTATTTATCTTCTCTTTCATCTGTTTTTCTTTTTTATCTTCAAATTCCTTCTGGTTTATAAGAAAAGTGATTTCCTTGTTCTCTATTATCAGTTTCTTTTTGTGTTTTCCATTGTCTGTATTTGTTGAGTATCTAAGTCTTCTGTCATAGCATTTAGTTGTTTCACTTTCTCTATAGAATTCTGTATAGATAATTCTTTGGTTGAAGTCATAGTTTGAGTTTGCATATCCAGACTTATACATAAAGTTTGGATCATCGCTTTTAACATACAAAGAATTTGTTCCTATACTTCCTCTGTAGAAGAAATCCATTCCTATTCTTCTTCCACTGTAGTATATTAAACTAAAAAAAAAAAGAAACTTACAGTCAGAAAGTCCACCAAATGGGGAGCTGAGCTGAGTTTTTGCAGATGGTGTTTCAAGGGTGCTTCATATCTTATCTATTTTCAAAGCTGTCAACAAGTCTCTTGAAGAATAGCAGGTTACATCTCAGAGTTAGTTGGATCTTTTTAGTTCCCCCCCTCTATTTTAAGAGGGAAAAACCCCAAATCTTCAATAGTAATTAGAGTGAAAATCAGAGAAAAAAATATAGAGAGTACAAAGTTACAAATTTTATAATCCACCAATTTTAGGAAATAGAATTCCAATTAGGATCCCAGTATTTTTCCAACATTTTAAACTCCCAAGTGTTTAATTGCTGCTGTTTCTGGAGGGAGGGCTAGAATCCCCCTTCCCTCACCACAGGGGGGGAAGTACTTTAGCAGCTTATGCAGGTAATTAAGTAATTAGGATGTAAGAGAGGCAAACCTCACCCAGTCCTGTCCACGCTGCTTTGAAGTTGCCAGATGGTAATGTGACTTTGGCTGTTAGCAGCCTAGGGACAAGCCATATTTCTATGGCCGGTCCTTTCATCCACTGGTTTGGAGGGATCACCTGCTCTGACGGGAGAGTTGCTGCTCTCCCGTGATCCAGCGAAAGCCTCTCCTTGCTGGTCGCTTCTTTGGGGCAACTTTCAGCCCTTTTCAGGGGTCCCCAGCGATGCGAAACTGAACGGGGGAGAGAGAGCAAGTCTCCCAGCCGTCCATGGCGCCCACGTGATGAACAGGAAGCAATTCCCAGAATTCCTGAGCCAGCACTGTTCAGCTTGGAAACCTCCCCCTTTCCCCTCAGCATGGCTGGCTCAGGAATTCTGGGAGTTGAAGTCCACGAGTTAGAAAAGAGCCAAGGTTGCCTACCTCTGTCCTAGATCAATCTCAATTTATTAAAAATTCTTCCTTGGGAATTATATTTCATCTTCTAACTTTTCATCTTTAAAAAAGCAGGGGAAGTGCAGGTTTTGTGGTAGACCCATATGTATTTGTCTTTTTAAAAATATATATATATTTTTTGCCTTTGAAATTTTAAAACAATGCATTTATTTGATGTGGGTGGTTGAAGACATTTCAATCTGATTGTGCTGTAATCTAAATTGCTACTTGTAATATTGCCCATATTCTTCTACCTTAGCAATTTGATGAAATGGAGCAATAATATTCTAAGGATCACATGGAACACTGAATGCAAATTTGGAATCCTGTATCTGTGTATAGGATTTTGGGAGCTTTGGGAATCTAAACCTGATCTTAAAGTAGAGTGGATTGAAAGAATGAGTCACTTGAATATTATCTTGATTTATCACTGTGTTCTCCTTTTATCTCTTTCAGGAACAATATAAATTTGTATATGAGGTTGCACTGGAATACTTAAGTTCATTTTAGCTCATCAGGGCAGGGAGCTAAAAAATGCCTAAAGCTTTGATGTTTGAAGGACACTGGTTCCCCACTTTACTTCAGAGGAGTAACGGGCTAACGCATATATAGCTCTTCATCCTTGAATGAGAAATCAGGTCAGAGCTGAGTGCCGGAGGAGAGATCTGCTGCCATCTGTTTTTAGAACATTCTTGCCTTTTAAGCAACCTACTATGGCAAAGCAAGAGGCAGGGTGGAATATTCTGCTTTCTAATCCCTTCTGACTGCTTCTCCCTATCATTTTGGATGTGTCTTTTTTTTTCTCCCTTGATGCAAACAGGAGTGTGTGTGTGTGTGTGTGTGTGTGTTTGTATGTGTGTATAAAATATCAGCTCCACTTTCTGTGTTTCTACAAATCCTCACTTTTTTTTAATTTCCTATATAAGCCATTTTGCATTAAAGTGAAGCTTCATTAAACACATGTTTGGCTTTCACCAGAGCAAGCCTTTGTGTTAAGTTTTTCAGATGAAAAAGCCACCATCATAAATGTGTGATTTTTCTGTCAGCTCCTATTGTCTTAAAAGCCAGCTATGGAATGAAGAAGCTGCCAGTTAATTTTCTGCCTTGATTAATACACAATGCTACTAGATTTTGAATGTTCTGCATGGATTGGTTAAATCTTAATGGTTCCTATCAGCTGCAGTGCTGGTGAAGCAACTCTGTAAAATTGCACCTCCCAGCAAAGTACATTGAGGTCACTCTGAAATTATCTTCATGTTTCAAATTATCGTTCCTTTGCTTGGTAATGAAGTTGATTTCATTTTATCATAAGTATTTGGTTGTGTGCAATGTACATTTACAAATGGAGTAAATTGAAGGACGGGCTTAAAATATGTACCTTGGAGATTATTCTACCATCTACACAGT